TGTAGTCTGAGGTCGACGACCGGTAATATGGCCCAGTAGGTGCGTCTGAAATAGACTTGTTTCAACGTCTCCGATTTATCGAGTAAATGCTGCATGATCCTTACCCCGGGCGCATTCACGATATTCTAGATGGTCAGTAGTTGTTACAGTCTACGACTTCACACGGGCCTCCACAGGCCCGACACACCGGTTCAGGGGTACCCAGGCCGGTCTCGCCAAAGACCAAGACTTTTTCTCCCGGTAGGCCCTATTAGGCCACCGGTTGGACTTATTGTCCACGACATTCTGATCTTGTTCCATGACATTTTGGACTACCATATCGGTGACCTACTAGATTCTATCTCAGTGACATCTGGCGCTGCCTACACCTCCCACCTCCTGCGTCTCTTCTCCCACCTTTCATCTGTGTATGGTTGTACGGGGCCTGAGCATCGTCTGTGATTGGCTCAGACCCCACCATCTCACGATTGTTTGTGTGTTGAGTGATATTTGTATGAGTTCAATCTATGTAAGTCAGACGATTTCTCGGACTTCCGCTGTATACACGCTCATCCTATATTGGTTGATCTTTGGTTCTGCTCACACTTGTTGAAGTATTCACTAGTATGCAACAGTAGTGCCCTGTTGATGTGCTAGAGCAGTTGTGTCCTGTGTTGCAGCTAGGCGGAGGCAGAAAGGAGTAACCTGGCTAACCTGATGTTGACCATGATGAAGGGGGTAATGTGGAACAATACGATGTTGACAGTGCAGATACACGAGGGCAGACAGCTGAGACAGACTCAGCAGAAAGACGCTGCAGACTTAACAGACGTTGTTCGCGCTGCCGCCACACATCAACAACAACAGTAACAGTTGTTGAACACCACCACCACACGCTTCAACAACATCGAGGCTAAGCTCTCGACAGCGCCAGGCTGCACGATAGACACGGCGAAGCAGCTCGGGGAGCGCATCGACCATGTCGTCACTATTATCGGCAAACTAGGTGATTTCACTAGTCCGGCCACAAGCAACAGCACGGTGGCCGCCATCAAGACGGACATCACCAAACTGCAGCCAAGACCGGACGCCGCTACAAAGGCATACAAGATGCCACGCTTCAACATCGGCAAGTTTGACGACTACAACAAGACGAACACCTTGACATGGTGGCAAAGCTTCCTCACCGAAGCATCCTGCCACACTGTACCGGCTGAAGACATGATGAAAGCGCTCTACCTCCAACTCATTGGAGGAGCGCAGGCATGGATGAACCATACCACGGCCAATCTGAAATGCATCCACACGCTTCAACAGCATCGAGGCTAAGCTCTCGACAGTGCCAGGCTGCACGACAGATACGGCGAAGCAGCTCGGGGAGCGCATCGACCATGTCGTCACTATTATCGGCGAACTAGGTGACTTCACTGGTCCGGCCACAAGCAGCAGCACGGTGGCCGCCATCAAGACGGACATCACCAAACTGCAGTCAAGACCGGACGCCGCTACAAAGGCATACAAGATGCCACGCTTCAACATCGGCAAGTTTGACAACTACAACAAGACGGACGCCTTGACATGGTGCCAAAGCTTCCTCACCGAAGCATCCTGCCACACTATACCGGCTGAAGACATGATAAAAGCGCTCTACCTCCAACTCATTGGAGGAGCGCAGGCATGGATGAACCATACCGCGGCCAATCTGAAATGCATCTCCATCTTTCTCCTATCCATTTTGATCTTCCTCTTCTCCATCTCCATCTTCCTCTTCTTCATCTTCATCTCCCTCTTCATCTTCTTCAGACTTCCTCTTCTTCTTCAGATTGGAGACTTGATACGAGTTGGACAGAGATCAGTGTTGGGCTGTGGATGCGAGTTTGCAACTTCTGACCCCTTATGGTGTGTTCTCTTGAGTAAATGGAGCGGGTATGTTTGTTTTGGAATGATCAGAGATATCAATCGGTCGCTGAGTTTGATGAACGTAAGTAGGGTCGATCTGAAATTACCGATATGCTATTGACATTGGCATGACGAGACTCTGTGTTTCTCGACTGGGATTTTGGGCAGTGCTCCATGCATCATGTCTGAATGTGAATGTAAATTCAGATGGTTTAGCAGGATAGGAATCTTTTGACCTTGTATTCACGAACTGAGACAGGAATACAACATTAGTTAGAATTATAACATGTTGGGGTCCCATCGGCGTAATACGCATTTGAATATTGAGGTGTGGTGTTTGAGGTCTTCAACTTCTCAGGTTGTCTGTGTATTCAAATTGTTACGCAAAGGTGGACCCGATGTCGTGGCAGTGCGGAATGTTAGTGATTGTTTCCTGGTGTGTGATATTCATATATTAACCTGATTATTTTATCAGGTACTTTGGTGTAACATTTTAGATAATCATCTAATAACCCTACTAAAAGTTAGTAGGCCGCGGGGCCGACTCTCGCATCTGCAATGGTCCACGTTAGTGTTTTTGCATCGTGAAGCGTGAGACGTCCGATGTAAAATTATGACGCGCGATCATTTACATCGCGAAGCGTGAGACGTCCGATGTAAAATTCTGACGTGCCTGATGCGGCGTGCCTGACGCATCTGATGCATTTGGCGTTTGTTATTTTCTCGGGCGAGTCCAGTTTCGTTTCGTATTTGGGTTCTCTTTTATGCTTTGGGCCTTGCTGCACTACTCTTGAAATACGGACAGATACATGGTCATGATTTTTGTTTTTTGTGGATGTCGAGAGTTTTCGTTTTTGCGTTCTCTTTTATGCTTTGGGCCTCAGTGCACTACTTTTGAAATACGGACATCGCGAAGTGTGAGACGTCTGATGTAAAATTTTGACGCGCCTGGCGCGTCTGACATGTTTGGCGTTTGTTTTTTTCTCCGGCGAGTCCGGTTTCGTTTCGTTTTTGCGTTCTCTTTTATGTTTTGGGCCTCGCTGCACTACTCTTGAAATACGGACGGATACACGGTCATGATTTTTGTTTTTTGTGAATGTCGAGAGTTTTCGTTTTTGCGTTCTCCTTTATGCTTTGGGACTAGCTGCACTATTGAAATACGGACAGATACACGGTCATAATTTTTTTTTTTTTGGATGTCGAGGGTAGTGAATCTTCCGCTAGAATACGGACAGATACACGGTCATGATTTTTGTTTTTTTTGGATGTCGAGAGTAGTGCAGCGAGGCCCTTTGTCGTTGGCTCTCGGTGGGTGCTTGGGGATGGTCGGTGTCGCTGGGTGCTTGGGGCCGGACGGTGGGTGCTTGGGGCCGGTCGGTGGGTGCTAGCAGCCAGTCAGTGGTGCTTGGGGCCGGTCGGTGAGTGCTTGGGGCTGGTCGGTGAGTGCTTGGGGCTGGTCGGTGGGTGCTCGGGGGCGCTCGGTGGGTGCTTGGGGGCG